CCCCTCCCAAACCGAACAGCGCCATATAATTGACGGATGTGGTGAAAACACCACATAAGCCGTGTAAACTGAAGAATTAGCTACACTGAGGGAGTAATTCTCTGAACATGTTAGGCTGCGTTCATACTTTGCGGCAGCGTCCACGAGCGACCATCAGCGTTTCGAGCGTCCGTCAACGATTGGAAAGTATAGATACTGATCTAGCGAACGGCAGCGTCTACCAGCGTACATCAGCGTCTCGAGGAAGTAGGGAAGTATAGGTATCGATCTAGCAAACGCATGCGTTCAGGAGTAGCGATTGTGGGGAGTAGGAGGAGCAGAGAGCTAGAACAAGCGTCGCGAAATTACGGAGTGTGCAGCAACACCGTGATACTACACAATACCGTACATTGAGTTGCATAATTCTGTGCTTTAGCAGTTGCTCACGCCGCATTTTCACAACGCCTAATCCAGCTATCTATACTCCCTTACTTCCCCGTTCTCTCTACCTGGTCGCTGGTTGTCGCTGCCGCAAAGTATAAACGCAGCCATACAACATTAACCACATATTTGACAGCGTGTGTGTGTTAGCAGTAAAACACTGCAAAGATTTGATTGTTTCGGCTTGTGAGTGTATCTTATCAAAGTGTTTCTTGTGAAGCGTGAGCTTCTTTGTTTGTATGGCCTTGCAACACCCTCGTTTGGAGTCGGGAAGTTTTCCTGACCTCACCGAGGAAGTATTCCCTTTTCCACGGGAGAAGATTAGTTATGTGTTCCTCCACCACAAGACAGGATGCCAGTTGTCTTAGATGGAAATATTGCACGAGAAACGCATCCTACGCCATTTCAAGGTAAGTGCGCCACGCCTTTTTAATCTCCAGAAAATATGATGTGCGTGTTCTTCAGTGGTGCTTCCCTCGTAAATCAGTGAAGAGGAGTAATGCGCCAATGAGGAAACGCAATCGTTGTATGTCTCCGCCTAAGTAGCACCCCATTCCATCGGTGTGGACCGTGCCAGGGCACATCATTGGTTGGGAATTTTGTTCGAGTCCATGCACCCGCCTAGGGTTGACTTGATACGACCCCCGAGTTTGCGGTGGGGGAGGGTATACACCACATGTGAAACAGGAGAAACCACGAAAAGTCAACAACCGGGAAAAAAATTTTCCAACGCCGCAAATTTCTCTTATAAGGCAAATATGACCCTTCATCTCCCAACAACGAGCTAATACGACTCCCCTCCCCTCCTTTATAGCTTCATTGAGACAAGAAGAAGCAACTATCAAAAAAATTTCCCTAGACCGAATACGAACACCCTCCTCCCCAGCGACCAGATACGACCGCCTGTTGAGCAATTTCCATGATGATGTGCCCTGGACCGTGCGTTTACATACTGAGAATTAAATGGGGAAGCTTTTTCAGTAAAATTGGACCCCAAATAAACCAGAATGAGCCCACAGAAGTCTTTTGAAAGATGTATGAGCATTTCAAAGTACTGTAACTGGTGAGCAGTGTCATGGAGATTTTTTGTATTGGTGTTTCTTCTGATATTGGTAGATCTGCAACAGCTTTAGTTCCTTCGAACTGGAAGCTCCGTTGTTTTATTGAGGCAGGTTTCGTGTTCTTATGTTGGATTGGATGTTTTTTAATCTAAGCTTTCTAAATTTTTCCAGGAAATACGAGTTTCAAGGTGCTGAACACTAGTGAAGAGCTGAGCGGGAGAATTAAAGCCGCTTGTAGAAACGGATCATTTCGCGATTTGTGGTGAGTAAAATCGTTTTTGCGCAAGGTAGCGCAGAGGGCACTCTCAAACGTTGTACCACCTCCGCCAAGAAAATGAGTGTCAAAGGCGGTGAGGCCTTCACCGGTCCTGAATGTGTTGCCTAACGAAAGATGCTTTATACGAAGATGAACGGCGGGTACATACTAGGTCGTCCAAATTGTCTTTTTGTTTCCTCATTTTTGATCGTGGTCTCTCGCGCGCGGTCGCAGATTCTCGCTTCTTTATACGCACATCCGACGCTTGAAACCAACGAGTCTTATCTCAGACGTTTCCCACAGCTTCTACTCCTCCTTCTACTGTCTGTTCATAGTCCCACTACTCACATCGTGCAGTCGTAAGCTGTGACTGTAGCTGACAGTAAGAAACTACCTATGATTTTCTGGGAACTCCTTGCCCTTAGTGAGCGAGTAGCGTGGTCCGCAGTGGCACTGGTTGCGCCATTCTCGTGGCACAAACGCGTGTGGGAAAGGTTCCCTTACCATTGTTGCTCTCATTGACCCCACACGAAGGGAGCGACGGAGGTGCTGCCTTGGGAAGTGGTACGCTTATCACCCACGCGGTCCTCGACAGATCCTAGGTTTACCCGCCGGGCCATCCGAGCCTTCCACTCCTCCGAAACTATTGAATAGGGTGCAGATTTCTCTAGAAGGAGGGAAACATTGACTCGTACATCGCCTGGTCCCGCAAGCCATCGTAGCCCATATCGCATTCAATAAACTGTTACCTCAATGGAATTAGAATTCGTGGCGCCCGAAATCATTACCGAAAGCTTCATACTTCTTATCAATAAGGATTCCTTGCGAAGATAAGGGGATAGCATAGAAACTGACGCGTCGCAGTCAATCTGAGCAAATACCTAAGCTGATTAGTCGCCTGCTTGTTGAAGCTCGCTGAGGGATGCGATACTATGAACTGGGGGCGGATTATGAGGAATTACCCCGAGTTGCTGACCCCGTATGAGCGTCTCGAATCTCCACCCGGACGTGTGATCAGTCAGCTACCTCTACAGAATGTTCACCAGCGATGGAGCGATCTATCTTCATATCAGCACATGCTCCGATCTGAAAGGACGTGGCAACACACGAGGAGATGTTGTGTTGTTGGGAAGAGCTCAGTTATAGCCTCAGTTGCTCTCCCAATCGGTTCATACGGAATGGCTCCACATCGCGGTCGTTTCCATTCTTTGCCCACACGGTCCCTCTTCTTCACAGCACTTCTAGTCGCAGTGGGTCTAATCAATTTGTCAACATTATCCATTTTACTTACTCTTTCTCGCGAAATTTTATTGATCGCGGTGCTCAAGATCCAGTATGGTGGGGAACTTGGGTGCAACCCACCCTGCGCTTTCCAAACCACGACTAATATTGTTGCTAGGCATACTGCATGCTCGCCACGAAAGCGGTCCTTGCCTTGTGTGCGATAGTAAGTCGTTGCTGCCGTGGCGTGCCACTTTCTTCGCTCGAAAGTGTACGGGAACGGCCTGGAACTAGTGATACCCGGGCACCGCCTGTCGACTCTGCCGAGGTTATCCTCGAAGCGGACCTTTCCGATAATACCGAAAACCAACAGCGACACGCAGCCGAGCTTGGAGAACAATGATAAGGGATAGGCGCAGGCGGTCAGCGCGTCCGGCTATGGTAAGGCGTGGTGGCTGGCCGTACGGCAGCGTGGGCGTACTTCCAAATGGCGCCGCGTGAGACTACCGTCCAGGTCCGTTTCTGTGCGCATTTCAGCGGAGAAAGTGGCACGTTAGCGCATCTGCGGACCCTCTCACACGGCAAGGACCACCATCCAAACAGGTCAGTCTGCGGTCTCCTGGGAGGAAGTTTAGGAAAAGTAGATCTTGTCTAGTCTGAGCGTGACCTAGACCGGATTAGACAAAGCTCGAAGGTGCAGTCTATGATGACCGCAGGGGCGGGCTTAGGGCTAACATTGTGCCTTCATCGTTAACGTGCCCCCTCTTAGCCTTTCAGAAAGGGGAGGCGCACCGATGAGGAGGAGGCAATTGTAAGCAAGATTCCGTCACAAATGTACGATCATGGGTAGTAGGACTTCAATTCTATCGGAGTCATTGTGCATGACATTGTCGTCTTTAGGTTATTGCGTTTCTTTATATGACCGGTCAGAGAAAGGACTCCGTTCGTGAGGCTGTTCCAACCGTTGGGTTACCAACCGCTGCGTTAAAAATTCTACGGGAAAGCATTTTGGCTGAAAAAATACTCGAAAAATATGGACGAAGACGAACTCTGTAAGTAATTTTGAAAGCAACAATACTCCCAAATTTTTCCAAATTTTCAAACTCCCCGTTATAGTGAAGATTCGATTTGCTTAGAAGATGGTGCAGTATGTGTGTCCATTCAGGATCAAATATCCTTCGATGGAGACAGGTACAAATATGGTCTGGTTCGCTGCAGATGATGGGGCGTGTCCGCGCGGCAGCGTGCGGCATGACGCCAGCATGATTTTTCTCGTTTTTTTTTCTTGTAAGTGACAAGACTGTATAGTATCGTTGGGATCGGTCGTTTCTTCACCAGTTGTTGCCATTTACCCGCTCAAATAATAGGTAGATCACCGATGGCAGCGTGCCAAATCCAGAGGCGGACACGCCGATCATCCGCAGCGAATCAGACTATTACACCAGTTCTTATTCCATGATAACAACCGATTGTCTGTCAAGGTACTCTTTTCAACGAGCCGTAGTCTACAGAGAGATGCAGTACACCACAATGGACCTAAAGCTCCCCGAAAGTGAGTTTCATGTAAGCTTCTATAAAGTTTCTATAGTTTTGCAGGCATATGAGAGATGCATTACTCGCCCTGGAAATGCCACATGCCTGTTAGCTATCGCTAAAGTGCCCCTTGTCTGGAACCTCCATTACAAAGAATCCTAAACACGATCCACAGTGATTGCATGGGCGGAGTCGGTCCAGCCATGTACCGCCCCCTTTGGCATCTTTGACATACGCTTCATCTCTGTGATAACAGGTACACGGGGTGCGCGCCAGAGAAAAGGCGATAATGGACTGACATGGCCCACAAGAGTATATATTCGTAAGTTCCGATTACCAGAATGTGGACGGAGGGCGGTTTGTATCCACGCCTAATGCGTGATCGAGTTCGACAGGAATCAGTCAAAGGCATGGGGCGCGACAATCGGTGCTAGGTCCAAAATGGTAGTGAGTGTCCAGTGTAGTGGGAGAGTGACGAAAAAGGGAAGTGAAATGGTCAAAATCTCAAATGAGAGGCAGAAAACCCTTTGTTCTACACGACTCACAGAGCAATTTGGACGAGTTTGCGTTGCATCGTGCCAATAACCGCTACGGTAGATACGGCTGCATGTATGTACTCATATATCCATGCAGCACCGCAGCCGCTTCATATCAACCCTTTCGCTTCATACTGTACTTCGCAATAAAGCGATACTATCAGCACCTCTCGAACATGTGCAGGCGGGCACAGTGCACGTTATGTTGCAGCTTTATAGGGCGCCACAAAGGTACCTGCCTTAAAGAGGGTGCCCCGCAGCGCCTACTCAGGCGCCGGATTCCGTATTGCGAGGTGTACTAATCCTACACTTCTTGGGGATTTATCGTGACACTTGCCTCTATAGGCAAGAATCAGCGATTGACCGATGTGCACAAAGCTTTTCTTGTACGGTGGCGTGAGCCGCAACTCAGAGAATGTCCCTATCCGCAATCCAAAAGTGCTTGATAAGAACGCTACGAATCTGCTACGAGATTCAGTCTCCGCCCTTCGCAGGAGGCTCCTCCCTCTCTGTTTTACCATTGCTATACAGCGATGGGTATCCGGTCGTAAGCTCTCTCGCAATACCACCAACTGTTTTGCTTTGATAGACAGAGTGTCTCTCAGCTGCATGCTCTTGTAATGCTCAGAACAAAAAGTTGTTTTATTTGGTGCGTTAGCATCGGTTTATTCCGCTTTTTCTCAAATTATGTGTTACGTAACCCTTAACATTTATTTAACAAACCCTGCCGCGAGTGACAATAACGAGCTGAGCTTTCTCCATCTTCTCTCTTCCTGCAACCTCGCCATGTTAGCAGTTAGTAGTTCTATTGTTTTGTGCCTCACGAGCTTGTTAGGTGGAACATTTATCAAAATGGGCCGAACATATTGAGAGAGACGCAGCGTCGACGCGGGCTGTCTATGCCTGCACTCCGCCAGGTGGGGTATGAAACGTAGTAGGTCATTGATTGGGGGGGATGGCTTTCATCTCACCCTCGGTTGTTCATTCTGCGGTTTTCTAGAGGAATATCCAGGAGTGGCGTGGTGCGAGGGACGCGGGTGTGTGTTTGGGCTGGAGAGGGCCGGTGCTGTTTGTGCCAGGCACAGTGCCGCACTATTCGAAGTTTCATACACGAGTGGTCGGAGGCGAGAACGGTGACTATCTCCGAGAGCCCAGTTGTAAGAGTACCGCGTCTCATACTAGCCAGATGTTTCTTGATACGGATAGTCAAAACCCCTCCGCCTCCCGACTATATGTGTAGTTACATGCCTGACACCTGTTTCAATATTGTTCCAGTTGCGCAGCCTCACCGGAAGTCGTTTCGCGGGGCAAGCGAGGCACAGTTTTCTTGATATGCACTGGCTTTGTCGTGAAGATCTGTTACGAATCAGTTGTTGTTTGCAGTTCTTCATTTGGTAGGATCTTTAGCCAGAGCTGGGGTATGGATCAGCCTGCAAGTTGTGCTTTTATTATGCTCCGGTTTGATATGCGCCGGAGCATCTATCGTGTGCAGAAATAAAGCGAGGAAGGAGCAAAGGTAATCTTGTTTCGTAGCGGTACGTTTTGTAGGCGCCCCAATATGCCGCGTTCCCGAGGGGAGGGCCCTGTGGGTGCGTGGTGATAGCCAACCCATGGCCGCGCTAGGTATTTTTTTGCGGCAGAGGGCGGCTCGTGATTCCGGTGGTAGCCCGTGTCTACCGATCTCATCTCCTGTGCACATTCCCGTTGCCGTTCGGAACATGTTACGGACAACAGCGCGTTTCACAGCAATCGGGTGTGCTGATGTAGCGTGAACCAAGATGTTTTTCGAGCTCCTTTTACGGTACCATTTCACAGTTAATATTTCATTTCACAGTTATTCCATTTTTAACATCAACACAGTCCGAAATGGATGACTGTTTCCCGAGTGATGAAGTGAACAGTCACAGTACATTAAGCTGACACGAGAAACCCCGCAAAACGGTTGGCTGCCATTTCTCAACACGCAAGTCAAGGTATCCAATGGCATCACTCGAGTGAAATGGTACCGTAAAAGCAGCTCGAAAAACATCTTGGTTCACGCTACATCAGCACACCCGATTGCTGTGAAACGCGCTGTTGTCCGCAACATGCTCCAAACGGCAACGGGAATGTAACGTAACGAACGGGAACGGCACAGGAGATGTAGAAAGGGAATCTCGAGAGCTTGCCTACAAAAATAGCCTGTTATGAATGGCTATACGGAACCACACCCTCGGGGAAGGCGGCATATTGGTCCACAAGGCGTACCGCGTCGAAACAAGATACCTTTATGTATCCCCTTCATTTCTGATAAGGTGAGCGCTGCAATCAAACGGAGCATAGTAAGAGCACAGCTGCAGGACGATGTCCAGTTGGTAAATATACCAAATGAGAAGCATCAAACAGCAGCTGGTCCGTAACAGGCTCTACGACAAGCAGTGCATATCAGAAAATTGTGTTACTTGCCCACACGGGAAAGACTGGTGACTGTGCGCAATTGGGAGTAATATATGAAAAATATCGGGCATGTAACTACAAATGTATTGGGGGGAATGGGAAGGGTTTTGGCTACCCTTAAGGAACACCTTGCTAGCATGAGACGCGGTACCCTTACAACTGCTCTCGGGAGGCATAAGGTTGTGGAACATAATGGGATCGAATTCGAAATAAAGTGCACGTGCTGGCAAATGAGACGGAACTTTCAGCCTAAAGCGTTGGAAGCATTCTGGATATTCACTAGAAAACCCAGAATGAACAACCGAGATGAGTGTCCTGCCATCACAAATGACCTACTACCGTTTATACCCCACTGCGGACTGTAGAATGACAGAGCGTGACGTGCGTCTCCTTGATATGTCATTATACGGAGACAACGTAGTATTCTTCATTTTCTACTAACAGCGCTCTAGTGTGGCAGCGGACCTATCCGCTTAAACGGTGGAACATTGGTGAGTCTGTTTCTTGCGATGTTGGCGTCTTCTCAAGAGGTTCCTGACACGACGTCGGAACCGCTAGAGTTGACGAGGTGCTTGGTGGGGTAGGTTGCAATCTAATGCTTGAAACACATTCAGGCCTCTGAAGACGACGATTAAGTCGAAACGTTAGGCCATTTTAACAAATATTCCACCTGAACCTCGTGAGGCACTAAACAGTATAACCACTTACTACTGACGAGCTGAGCCTTTTTTCCATTCAGTGACATAGCCGTTCGCTTCCTTTAAAAATACCTCATCGATAGTTGAACTTGGTCAGAATTTGCAGGATTTGACAATGATAACCTTGACACTTCAAAGTGGGAATTAGATAACACGGCACTGAATCCTGACTGCTACAGTCCTGTAATGATAGGTGAGGGTTTTTCTAGACTGTGAGCTTCAATACTATTTCAGTTCGTTTCGTTAAACTAAATTTTCGTGAATTGGGTCTTCCGACGTAATCCCACTTCTACTCAGAGTAAAAGCTGTGCCATCTGATGAGCAGTAACGGAGCCTACTTCCTGCCGTCCCTGCCCAAGGTGACGCGGGACGTTACCAATAGAACTGCTATAAATTAGCGGCTCTTTATTCTGACCAATTATCCCGGAGGGTTAGATGGCCATCGAGAAGGTTCCTACATAATGACGAAGGAAAGGATGGCTTGGTCTCGAGTGGCTATTTTGAAATGAGATCAGGTTTTGCATTTTGTAATCAGTTTGGTGCGATCAACAAACGTAACGTGAAATGCGCCGAAAACCACAATCGGGTGTCCTTCAGGAGTGTTCCAGAATGGCTCCATTCCTTTAGAAACAACATTTTTCGGTAAGATCAGGTCTCCTAACCCCGCAAAAGTGCTTTTAGGATGTGCAGGGAGCATTTTTGAGAAAATGCAAAACCACAACTCCAGGAAGGACCCGAACCCTTTTGAATTTGAAACGCCTATTCAATATGCATTCCCTCCAAATGTCATAGAACCCTGTAACACAGCAGAGTGCAAGGAAATTTTTTTATCCGGTGTTCCCATTGCGAGAAACTTTTTTGCTTCCAACACTTTGTTCTGGATTATCACATTTGTTCTTGAATCACAAAACTTGTTTGTACCCACTATATGAGCAAAATAAATCATTAGAAGTGTTCACAGGCGAGAATGGTTCAGTTTTCCAAGAAAAGCCCTATTCATGGCATGACAAGGTTCCCTGATCATGCTAGGCTGTGTTAAAAACTTCCAGAGAGCACTGCTGAAACAATGCAAAAGAGCACGTCCATCAAGGACTCGAACCTCTGACCTCGTATACTTGAGTCCGGCATACTACCCACTAGGCTACCGAGGCACACCGTGTGGCGACTCACGTCTTATTTGTATACCAAGCTCTACTGTGCTCCGTACAACAACCTCCTGCATATCTCTGCTCAAAGAATCGTTCAGCAGATATGGAAAGCAGATTTGAAATCAGCGTCCGAAGACGCATCAGTGAGTATACATCTTGTTTTAAATGGCCACTTCGACCAACCATCCTTTCCTTGTGAGTAATCTCGTAGTAAATTCAAAGTCCTAACAACAATTCTTCAGAGGAGATTTTCACAAGCGGTGCAGTAGAAATGGAACGAGAAGTGAAAGCAAATGTGTTGATAATTGGTCTAGGAGCTGGCTATCTGAATTCTTACCTTTATGGTAATTTTCCAAAGGTGAAAACATATGAAAGTATTAGTTTTGATACGGATTATTAATCTACAGAGACTTTGCTAACAAAGAAGGATGTACTCATCTACTATTGGAACTTATTGGAAATGTTCCATGATCTCAAAACTAACGCTTCCATCAAAGTATAGTCGGTGTCCGGCGCTGCTCGGCGACGGGAGGCATTTTGCACTTTCACTGCTCCACTAGTTCCGATTTACGTTCACTCTGGTGAAACCTGTGAACTCTTGTGAAGCTGGAGCAAGCTCGTCGAGCTACCATAATAAACCTGTCAACTCTTGTAAGCTCATGAAGTAGCTCACTAGATGCCTGGACACGTCGATGGGAAGTAGCGATGGTGCCCTCCTTCACCCCTTTGCATCGCCGAAGTGCGCCGTCGTGTCCAACTACTTTGTGTATTCAGAAGCGGCCAGAAGTATTCACCGAGACAGTTTTTCGTGTACATTTTTTTCCATTTCCCAATTTTTCAAACCAATGCACCTCGAACTCGTATATTCAGTGTCAAAAAAATGCATTTACAAGAATAAAGCTATGGGCTATAAATGCGCCTTGATGGATGACTATAAAAATTACAAAGCTAGTCAGAAGTATTTCTGTCACTGTTACTTTTCTATTTAATATAGGACCGGGCATCCGGGTATACCCGCGAATATTCTAGAACATCTTCTTCCCTATGGGCTGTAAAAACCGTTCCACTCATCAAGCAAGACCATGGCTGAAATGACCACTGCCAATATTCGAGCAATATTTTTCTACGAGAAGGGCCATAAGACTAATGCAGCTGATGTAGCCAGAATGAACGGTGTAAATGTTGGTGTAAACGCTTCGAAGATGGAGAGACGGACATGAAAGATCGACCTCGTAGTGGACGTCCTTCAGTGCTCGAAGATTCGGCATTGCTCGCCGCCATTAAAGAAGAGCCATACACCACCGTACGGGATTTAGCAAGCAGGTTCGGATGCACGCACAACACAGTTGAAAAACGCCTCCGCGCTCTCGGATACCTAGAAGTTTTGACGAAATGGATACCTCATCAGTTGACCGACGGCATGAGGATGGCCTCGCCTGACTATCGTTCAATCTCTTCTCTTTAGGCCACATCGCAAGGAGTTCCTTGAGGACCTGATTAATGCAGATGACACGATGCCAACACCCTTCGTGCTGTTGCTTCCACGCGGTGAAGAATCGCCAACGCAGACGAAATCCGACCTCCACCTAGAAAAGGGGCTCCTGTGTTTCTGGGACTCCAGAGGAGCTTTACAACGAGTTGCTACAGCAGGGCAGGACTATCACCGCTACCGTGTATGCTGATCAGCCCCAGAAATGGGTGAACGCCGTGGAAGAAGAGTTACCGCCAACCTTATCCGTGACAACGCTCGGCACCATGTCATTCCGACAACTCGTGAAAAATTGATGGAACTCGGATGGTATCCGGTTGCACATCCACCCCACTCTGCGACCTTGCCCGTCGGACTATCATTTGTTCAGACCGTTTGAAGCTTTCTTGTCTAGGAAACTTTTGTTAAATATGATGATGTAATTTCAGCAGCCACCGAGTTCTTCGACTTCCAGACTCCAGCTTTCTGGGACAAGGGATCGGTGTTTTGCATATTAGACGGAGCCGTGTTATTGCTTATGACGGTGTTATATTGTTGATTTTTACGTTATATAAAAGAAAACAATGAAAAAAAATTTCAAATGGGGAAAAAGTCCCAAGTCGAAAATACTTCTTCGCCAACCTAAAACAGTTCCACAATGAGAGCGAGAAAATTATTTCCTCTGTAAGTATTTAAAATAAATAAACATATAAAATGTCACCTCAAATGCTACAGTTTCCTGTAGGAGCAAGAATGAGCAATTCACCTGCAGTCATATAGACAACGTTAACAATGATTTCTATGATGGGCTGACAAGTCGGCTTACCAGTAATCTTCCTGTTTTAGATGGATTTAACAGGAGTAGAGATTGAACAGGAAATGGTACGCGTTGCACGAAAATGGTTCGGACTTGTGATAGATAGTCGGCAACGGATTTATACGATGGATGGCGCTAAATTTATTGAGACAGCTACAACAGAGGGTAAGTCCTGGCATTGTTTGCATAGCAGAACTTTTCAACACGTTTTATATTCAGGGCGAAAATATGACGTGATAATTCTGGACGCGTGCTTAGTGGATATGAGCCTTGAGCTCCAATGCCCTATTAAACCGTTTCTACAAGCTGGGAATGTAAAGACTATCTCAAGAGCGTTAACTGAAAAAGGTTTGCTAATATTATCATTGCAGAGCTAGCATTAGGTGGTAAAGTGATAGTTCATTCGTCGAACACATTTGTCTCTCTTGATATGGTTAGAGGCAAGGCCTGCGATAGTGGCCATCCCAGATAGTGGATTAAAGGCAGTGGGCACGGGCACGATGAATCCCCCAAGACGAGTAGGATTAATACGCCTGGCAGGACGGAATTCCGCGACCCTGAGCAGGCGCTGCATAATGCCTTTTCCAAGGGAAGGTGCCCTTATAAGGGCCCTATCAAGCCACAACATACCGACCCAAACGCCCGCCCGCCCACAAATGGACGACCGTTCCTGACGCTCTAAGGCTGCGTTTATACTTTGCGGCAGCGTAGCGTAGCGCTTCCAGCGTACGCGCGGCAGTGCCGGGGAGAGGATGCATATCGATCTAGCGTTCCGCCGTCACAGGCGTAAACCTAGCGCACAGCTGCGTACGCTAGCGCCGGCTTTTCCGCGTTCACCAGCGTTTTTGCTGCGTTTGCAGCGGCAGGAAGATAAGACGTAGTGTGTTCGTCAGAGACGCATGAATCGAGATCGTGATATAGTAGAGAAATGTGGACCGTCAGGCGCGGAATGCGATGTGTTTGTAGAGACTGAGGGCGGTGATGAGACGCGCCTCGATGTTTTTGTACCCTCCAGCTCTCCTTAACGTGTTCTCCCTGGCCGCTGGCCACTAGCAAAACGCTGAGCGAAAACGCTGAAGAAAACGGCTGGCGTACTGTAGCATACGCTTATGCTATAGACTTGGTCACCGCTGGCGACGCTCCTGATATGATCTCGCTCGGCAACTGCCGCGGAGTACGCTGGAAGCGCTACGCTAGCTGCGCAAGGTATAAACGTAGACTATCATTATTTGCAGCAATTATGAGCGATGCGATGTGTAGAAGACGCGACGTGATGCTGATGGTTATGAGGCAATATGCCAGCGTCTCCCGTAGCGGTTATTGGCAAGATGCGTTACGGGAACTCGTCAAAGGATTCTGATATCATTGAATGGGAGGCCCGTTTTTGTTCGAGATCTTTTGAACGTTGTACTCCGTTTCTTTCGCCTTTCCGAAGCCTTATGCGCGCCTACTAGATTTTAGGCCGAACGCAAATCAGTCGTGCAATTGCTTTAAGCGGTTTGAATATAAACGATAGTGCGGTATGTACGGTTGTTGTGATGGGGAAAGCGAAATAAAGCCAACTGCTATAGGTAGAACACATTTCGATAACCTTCGAACTGTGTATGCTAACTCCATATCTAACAGCACGAATCCCATCCTCACAGCTGATTCCCCGGTTTGACAGTACACGTGACAATTTTCATTCTTTTTCGTCCTGCTTCTTCGTTCTCCACTGAAAGCAGGGCTTGTAAAGCGGAGCCTGGGGGCGGAGTCACTGCAGAAAAGGGAGGCGTCACTGAACTTATAACCACACTATCCTCCCAACGCCATTTCAACTTCTATAGCTGATCGCGGACCGTGGATTTAGAGGCAAAGCCTGCGATCATTCGACATCACAGATAGTGGACTATAAGTTCGCATATAGACGACAAGGTTCTGAGTAACTCGATAGTGAAGAAAAAAAGCAGAAAAAAACATGCCAACTGCTCCAAATAGAGGCTTGTTCCAATCCCAGTTTGTACGTGCCAATTGACCTCTATCTCCAGTAGTACGCCCTTGGCCGCACAGCTGATTCTCCGATGAGAACTCTACGACCGTACAAGTGACGATTTTCCATGCTTTTCGTCCTGCACCTCCGTTTTTCACTGAAAGACGGGCCTTGAGGGCGGAGTCTGGGGCGGAGTCACTGGAAAAAAGGAGGCGTCACTGAACCTATATCCGCTATAGCGCCCCTCTCTTACAATTTTTGTCGCGAAACCGCTACAAGGTTGTTCCACGCGGGCCACACTACTCTCCCGACGCCATATTATCAACTTCTATACCTAATCGCGGACCGTACCTTTAAAGGAATCAATAAACTCGCTGCTCATTGCGTGTATTGCCTGTAACAATTGAGCTACAGGAGCAGTAGTACAGGGAGGGGGGACAAAAAATTTTTTGCCGCAAAATCCAAAATCTGTACAAGTTTGGCTTGCCATCAGTGATGGTGTAGGAATTTTTGAATTGTTACAGTATTGAAGAGTGAAGCGGTTCTCTGAGTACACCCAGCTACTTCGTTAGCCTACAGTTCCATTTCTTCAGGACAAAGCATTCGAGCTGTGCAGTGCTAGCCCTTTACAGCAAAGTACATGGGTTGGCACATAAGCAGTGACGTTTTTTCTCGCTCAAAACATCGCCCTATAAAAAGTTTTGTGTTTTATAATGTTTCGCAGGGAACTTCTTGATTCCTATTTGATAGTCTTCTTAGTTTCGTTGAAGGTCTCCTTCCACAAATATATATTTGCTCACACTGGAGAGTCAGGTCCACGAAATTGAGCATTTTCGACAGCCTCTCTTTTTACTTTAGAAAGCTAAAACCGCACATGCTCAGTGGCTAAGAATGTTGCCAAGAGACTGACTCTACCTTGTTGATCAGCTGGAAGCTTACTAAATTACCTTGTCTTGTTCGCGAAAGATTGAGAAATCATTGGAGGTCATGAAATGCTCCCTTGTCATTATGAAGCATCACCCTCATTCGTTGTTAGACCTTCAAAAGTCAGATAGCAGCTTCTGCAGGCGGTCGCTCCTCAAGAAAGCCCCCATGCAGTGCTCATTTACAAGGTCCGAATTCATGTCACTTGATCGCTCGAAGCAACTTTAACACGTTGACGACCATCGCGTTTTGCAGAAAGCCCACGTGGACAGGAGTAGCTTTCGCATGCGTCGCCTGAGCATGGTGATGTTGATCCCCCGTGCCCTTTTTCTGCCGCATAATGTTAAAATTTTGCAAATGATAGTAGTCGTGTAGGGATGCTATTTCGATCCATCTTTTGACCTATGATGATACCATCTCATGCCCCGCCTTGCGATCACGCACACTTGACGTGATTTCCAAATAGGTTCCTATTAACTTCGTTTCTTAAAAGTTTTCTTTGAAATTTTGCTAGCTTTTACAATTGCATATATTACATAGTGGCAACAACGGAACATAGCAGGCCACACTCACTTGTTGACAGGTCTGTTTTATATTTTCAATTTATACCTATTCAACGTTGACCTTTCGAAACGCACTTTCACATTATTGTACGAGAAAAGCAAATTGCACAACATTGCATAGCTCCGCACACTTAGGCCGCCATCTTTAAATCAACTTTCGCTGATTTTTGCAACTTTTATTATCTATTATCCATATTTTATCCACATGCCATACTTTTTATACTTGTTCCGCATCTTCAGATCGACAAACGGCGTTAATACTATATGAGAAGAATGACACGTTCGTGACAGGGGTGCCAAATAACCAGCAAACAGTGTTGGGTTTGTGCCCGATTCGGTGCCAAGAAGATCGCTGGCGCCAAAGTGACGCCCACTGGCGCCAGGTGGCTCCAACTTTGGAAGACAGCGGTACACTCGTGACAAGGTATGTCAATGATAGCTGAGGTAAGTAGAGGTTTCTTCAAATCGGTGTCAAAGATCGCTGGGGCAAAATGGCGCTTATTGAACGCATATTGGCCAATGACAATGAAACCTTACACCTTTCATGGATCAAAAGCCCCGCGCAGTCCGGCAGCCAGGTTTCGTCAAAAAAACTATTTTTGGAGGTTTCAGCCGCAAGCAGCAGCCTAAGTTAAGAATTTCAATGGTGTTTAAATTAAAACGTCTTCATGGGGGCGCACATTTTTCTATTCTCCATGTATGCGCGAAACGTATCATTTCACAGGTTACTCGAAAGGCGAAGAAAAGATCGATTGAGAACTGCACGGCATACCCAAAAACAAGTGATTGGCAAGAAAGTCAGGGCACGTGGCTCAGATTGTCCCACTGGCCACTCACTCATGAGTCACCGGTGGCTCAGGATGTCGTCAACGTGTTAAGCGTCGAAAGAGCACTTACCTAGCTTGTTAACCACAAGTTTTGAACTTTTTCTGTAACTTGCGAGCGGAGACAAAGCGCGAAAAGGTGTGTAACTCACTTTTGGTCGACCCATCTTTCCATTTCAATGCATTGAAATGGATAGAAATAAAGTAGCAGTAATAAAGCAACCATACTGCCTCAGTGCGGGAAATTGTCTATCAAACAGTGTAGAACACAATAGTGACAACTGTCACCATAAAAAAATTTGTGTGGGGAAAAACGCTATTACTCATGGGCCTACCCAATAATATAATGCAATATAAGCAAAATCGTTTTAGGTATTGTTCTTGTGAACGTGATTAGCCTCAATGTGAACAAGACGGTAGCTGCAGAGAAGGTATGCATCTAGTAACAAGAAAAAAAGTCAAGCATGATGCATAAGCAGTTCTTAACTACCACTATGGGTAAAGTACACTACTGCGCGTATGGTTAAACCTATGTGACTGATCACGGAGAATTTCTGCGCTGACCCCTGACACTTGGACTGCTTCCCATGCTTCTTAGTAAGGCCCATTCCATCAGTTTCTCCTATTTAATGAACGTTTGCCAATGTCTGGTGCTTACATTTCTCACAACACTCACCATTCGTTGGAAATAGGACAGCCTAGCGGTTGAAAGAGTTTCAATGGTAACAATATCGAAATCATAGTGAAATGCCTTACATCCTCACACTCTCTTTGGGTAGCTCTCACATATCCGTCGGCTGGTGCTGTTATCATTCCTCACTGGCGAACAACTTCAGGCTTCCGTCGAAACGCGATAGTTACCGGTGCCCAATAATTCTTGGGTAACGGTGGTCAGATTCGGTCGCAAGCAGAGTAGATTTGAAACCATACATCCTCTTGTAAGCCTTTGTAAACTATACAACTCATCTCTCCCCACATATGCTCCCTAACCACCATTGTATACTTGCCACAAGCAGTTCCCCGTGTTGTTTCGAAACGTGCTTCGAACTTTACAGGCTTGCTTTTGGAGTGGCTTCTGTGTTACTCAAGCACCTTTT